AACACTTTGCTTAATGATCGGCACAAATTAAAGCTAGGTACATTTACAGCTTTCTTTAGTCTCTTGTTCTAATGGTGCAACATTCTTTTTCCCTAGATTTAGTTGCAGTTAAGTCCATCTTCAGCCATTTGTCATCTCCACTCTACTTTTGATCATCCAGTGCTTCCAGTTCAGGTTCTAACAAGTCTTCCGTCTTTTTCCACAGGCAAGCTGAGCCTGGCCAGACAGCACTGAGAAATCTTCACTCGATATTTCCAGTTTGTATTGGGCACATTTCAATAAAACCGATTTATTTGTGCTGACTACTCCTTTCATCTTCCTTTTAATATTCACAATTGCTCCCTGTTGTGCCTGGCTGGGAAGCTTGCCCTCAGTGTTGTCCAGACACCTGTCTCCAGGTCTTACTTTAGTGAGCTGAGTAACTGCTCTCTGTCAACTGCTTCCCTTAACCTGCAACATGGAAATAAGAATATCATGCTTCATAGGGTGGTTCTCAGGACACGCAAACTAAAGATATAATAAAACACAAAAAATGTGAGCTGGTCTGTAGGGCAGGAGACCCATCATTTTCATGGCCTCAGCTGACTCTTTCATCTTCTGGCTTAATTTTTGTACTTTTCTGTTCTCCTCTGATGCCCTGTTTTCTGTAGCCTCCAGTTGATGAAGAGCTCTGAAGAGCTCAAAAGCTTGCACATTTTTGTGGAATGTTGGTTATTCCTAATACTAGTACTGCCCAACTGTGGAAAATAAAGGTGGCATATGCATAATAATTCATATGGTTTTACAGCTGAAAGACAAATGGTCCATGCAGCTCAAACTAGCACAATGCCAAATAGCCACATTTTGGTGGATACCCTGAAATTTCAAACTTTCAAAGAAAGAGGATTGCAAGTTATATGTACATAGTATTTTGGGTGTGTCTGCATACACATTGCCTTACCTTTTGTAATGCAAATGAAACAGTAACACCTTCTTGGTAGAAGAAAGATGTTGATAAAGCACTTGTAAAGTGGATTATCTTCAAAGAGTACTGCCAAGGCTGTGGGATCCCAAAGCTGCAATTTTGCATCACTTTTATTATTGGGTTTCCAAGTGTAACAAAATCTGGCTGCTGTGAAATAGATGACCCTTAGAATTCACATCAAAATCTAAATGGGCTATATTCCTGGGATATGCATGTCTGTGGTAGACTTCAATCCATGCTTAAGTATCCATTCAGGGAAATAATTTAAGAGGTAATCTAAAAAGCAGCTTATCAATGATGCAACCCTTTCTTGCGGACTTACCCCTTTCCACAAAATCTCCCTAATGCTAAAGTACGGTATTGTAACTGCAACATTTTTGTTTAACAGCTGCTTCCCCCACAAACATAAATGAAAGTTTCAGTCTGGGTCAGAAATGGAGTAACGACATGCAGGAAAAAGCTTCAGCAGAAAAGATTTCTGCAGCTCAAAGAATCACTGATCTTTTGAATTCCATGTTTGCTTTTCTCATTTCTGCCTGTTTCTTTGCAAAGTACCAGGGTTGAAATGGGAAGAAATAGTATATAAATGAAAAGCCAGGTTAAAAATGAAAGGCTGTGAAAGCCCATTTAGAAGAAGTATTGCATCTAAAATACCGCCATCCCTTTACCATGCCACCCACCCACACCCATATTGCAGTCCTCCATCTGATTCTGCATTACATAATATTTTGAGGAAGGGCCTCTAATTGTATTTCATATAAAGCCACGGTCAGCTTGACCCACAATATAATTCAAATGAAGTGTTTGAAATTCCTCTGCTTCGGTCCAATGGATCCAGAACACACCAACATGGTGTGTTAGATCTGTAATTAGGACGTCCCATGCATATTTGCTTATTCATTCATTTTAAATGCGTAACAGCCACAGGGGAGAGGCAAACTGAAATGCGACCATCACACCGAGGTAGGGTAAGTCCCACCACTTAAAACTGTTTGCTTGATTGAACTCACCCTTAAGCTGCTATTATCCTACAAACACACCAGTAGTTCAGCTCTCTGGTGCACCCACAACTGGAGTACTGCGTCCAGTTCTGAGCTCCACATTATAGGAGAGACATAGCTAGGTTAGAATCGGTTCAGTGCAGGGTCACAAGAATGGTAGCTGGATTGAGAGGGATGACATGAAGACAGACTGAGGGAACTGGGTCTTTTCAACCTGGAGAAGAGGAGATTCCAAGGGGATCTTTTAACGACTTATAGGTATGTGAGGGGATGTCATGTGGAGTAGGGCTGTGACCTGTTCTTCCCTGCAGTGGAGGGCAGGACACGTTTCAATGCAAAGCTGAAGGAACCAGGCTTCAGGTTAGATATCAGGAAGTACTTCCTGATGCTTAGGACTTTTAGGATATGGAATGGGCTTGCAAGAAAGTGGTTGAGGCCCCATCAGTGAGGGTGTTTGAGGAAAGATTGGAAAACCACATACTGGGGACTATATAAGTGGAACTGGCTGGAGTCAGGGGTCAGACTAGATGGCCTGGGAGACCCCTTCTGACTCGCTTTGTTTCTATGTGTCAAGGTGCAACAGGAAAGAAGGCACAATTAGGACATGAAATAATCAATTCAAGTTGCAGCAACCTAGATTCAGGCTGGACATCAGAGAAAGCTTCCTCACTGTCAGAGCAATATGACAGTGGAACCAGCTGCCTGGAGAGGTGGTGGGCTCTCCCCCACTAGAGACATTGAAAAAGAAACTGGACAGCCATCCAGTGGGATGGTGTAACATGGTGTCCTGCAATAGCAGGGGGTTGGATTCGGTGGCCTTCATGGCCCCTTCCAATTCTACTATTCTATGATTCTATGATTAATGGCTTCTTTTCCCTCCCCTGCATGTGTGAGGTTTGCAGCATGTGATTTGCCTAATTACCTACATGGTTCATGGCTTCCCATGTCAGACTTAGCAAAGTATGTGGTGCGATTGCCTTTGGAACCAGCCCAGAACCCATAGCTTGCTCTGACTACACAACCTGCATGGATAATTTCAGAAACAGCACGGGCAATTACACAGATTGTGCACATGGTATGCACAGGGATGGTGAAAGGAAGCCAGCATGGTTTCTTTTCCCACTGATTAGCTGGACCAAATGGCTAAAGATAAAGATGCCAATGCCTAGTAGTCACGGGGGCTATATATTGCCCCCAATATCAGGGGCATTATATGCCTCTTTAAACCAATTGCTGGGGGCCATGAACAGAATAATGTTATTACACTCATGTCCTGGTGAGTGTCTCATCAGTGTCTCATTGGCCACTGTGGTGGCAACAGGATGCTGGACTTTGGTCTGATTCAGCAGGGTCTTTGTATGTTCTTTGTATGACCTGTTGAATGTGAGACAAGACACCATAAAATTCATAAACAACAGGAGAGCAAAGCTTGGCTGCACATTAGCAAAGACTGCTGAAATATAAGAAGGCTTGTCCAGCAAACCTAGGGATATAGATTATTTTTTGCTTACTTCTATATATATCAATTCAGAAACCTCTTTGGATTCAGTGGAGCTTAGTCCCACCAAGGGATTATACCCTTAGGCATTTGGAGAAATGTAAGAATGGAACTGAATGACCTCATCTTTTTCAACCTGTCAGTTCCATGATTTGAACTGGGTATAAATTCCATCTCCACCCCTTTTAAGATGGTTTTTCCTCTGTATTTTTCAGAGGAGTTTCTCTTTAGACTGTTGCTGCAAAACCAATAAAGTCTTGGAACAATTTATTATGGTCTAAACTTTCATGAACATTGTCCACTTTAACTGATGGATCCCAGAAAGCCAATGACATAGTAAATGTCTGAGTCTTTAAGATGACACAAGACTGTCTTTTTTAATATATCCCCAAAATTAACTTACTGCAATATTATGATTATTTCCCCTTAATCCTTTAGGATTGGTCAGGAAGAGCAAATTTTCTTTAGCACTTGTGTTAGTAGTGTGCACATCAGGCACTTCTGTACATTAAAGTTGTGGTAGATGTACAAATGGAACCAGGGAGGGGAAGGCAGTCTGCACTTCCCTTTTTTCAAAAGTGGGGCCACTTTTGGGGTCCCATAGGAGTCGTGAAATTGACTAAACTGAATTCAAACAGGCTCAGAGGACAAACAAGATAATCAGAACATAGTAAGAGCCCTCCTGGACTGGATTTTTCAAACTGGTGGCCGCTAGGTGCTTTGGACCACATCCATCATTGCTTGCTAGCGGCCATGCTGGCTGGATCTGATGTGGGTCATGATCCAAAACAACTTGAGAAAGGTAGTGCAGAACTGGAGAAATCTAGGATCTAGCCCCTAACTGGCCATGAAGCTCACTGGGTAACTTTGGCCCAGACATTGGCTCTTGGGCTAACAAACCTCACAGGGAAGTCGTGAAAATAAAACGGAGAGATAAAGTAGGCTATAAATGTAACAAGTACAACCTGCTGGAGAGCAGGTGCAACAGGAAATTGGATTTTAAAATGACAGGAAAATATTGTACAAAGAGTGGGATCTTAAGCATCACAAAACCCAAATGGAGGATGCATTAATCCGTGGAGTAAACAAGCGCCACCTGAAGGCCCCCTTGAAGAGCAGTGTGTTGAAAACAGGTTGCTCCCGTGAGAAGCAGCAAGGCAGTCCCCGGCCAGGGCCACGGCTACGAGAGCTGCTCTCGAAGGCAGGCGCGGGCATCGGCGGCGCGCGTGCGGCGCAGCTTGCGTGGGCGTGGCGCGTCGCGGGCCACGGTGCGATGCCTGGTTGGCCCTGCAGGGGGCGAAACGGGGCGCCTGGATTCGCGCCGGGAGGAAATGATGTGCCTGCTGCCTGGTTAATTACAGCTCCAGACGCCCATTGGCAGAGCAGGGAGCAGCCACTTCCTCCTCTCTTTCTTACTGCAGCTGTATTCCCGGCTGGGAGCCCCTCCCCCTCTCCGCCCCCTCCCCCGGAGCCTGCGCTGCCTCGGCTCGCCTGGCTGCCTCTCTGGAACTTTGCGCTTGGCTCGTCCTCTTGCCAACTTTTCCCTGTCGCGACTCGACGGGGAAGTTCTTCTCCCGGCTCCCAAGGGCGCCGCCGCCGCCGCCAGCCCAGACACCGCCGGAAGGGGGACGGGCGCTGGGGAGATGCGGCCGGGCGCAGCGCAGTGATTAGAGCGCGGGACCCCGGGGACGTCGCGCTTGTCCGCCGCCGCCAGCTCTGCTTACGGCTACCACCGGAGTAAGAGCCGCTGCTGCAGCAAAGCCCATGGACGGGAAGTTCCTGCTCGCCGCCGCCGCCGTCCTCCTCCTCTAGCTGCGCCTGGGGATCCCGCACCGCCTCCGCCTCTCCCCCGCTTTGCCTTTGTCTGCGGTGCTATGAGGAGGTGAGTGGGTTGCCTGTCTGAGCTGAAGCTCGCCTTCTCCCGCTCTCGCTCCCGCCAGTATTCCTTATCCTTTCCCTTCTCCTTGGGATCCAGAATGCGTCCTCTCTCCGTTTTTCCCACATTGGATCACAACCCGCTTCTGACTGCGCCTCTGATACAACGTTGGAGACGATTACTATTTCTCTGTTGTTGGAAAAAAATAACCTTCGGAGAGAGCTCGGTTTGCGCACACGCCCCGCCGCCGGTCGCCTTTCCTCCTTTCATTGTTAAAAACCTGTGTGTGTGTGCGCGCGCGCGTGCGGGGGGACGGGTGTCACAAAACGGGCTGGCGATTCGAAATCGTGGATATATATACACACACATATGCGGTTTCTGCAATGCGCGCCGCTGCCCGGCGAGCTGTCTGTGTAAATGGGCGTCTCGGACGCGCTTTTCGAATCCTCGGAGGAAAAAGCTCCCGAAGCCAATAATATTACATCTGCGCTTGGTTTCTAGAGGCGGCTTTGGAAACTTGGGAGGCGGTGTGGTGGTGGAAGGCATCCTTTAATCACTTCTAGGAGGCAGGCTGTGCCGGAGTAGGAAGGGAGAGGGGGTGGGGAGGAAAGAGAATCTGTAAACTTTCCTTAGCTCTCCCTCCCCCCAACCCTGCTCGCTACAGCCTTCAACAGCTTCAAAGGAAGGAATGTGGGATTCATCTTCGGATGCCCACAGGGCAACTGTGGTTACAGATGTTACTCATTACTTTGCCAAACATAAGCCCTTCCCTCTATGCTACAACTCTTGTAGGAAAAGTTACTTTGGTTCTGGATGTGTGTGAGGGGAGGGACGAGGGAGAGAAGTGCTTGGAAAAGTCACAAATTAAAAATAAAATGGGAAAGTGATGGATAATTTGGTTGGAAGTAAGAGAGTGTTTAATTTGGTCTCTGTGTTAAAGTGTAGACCAGTTGTGCCTGCAGTGGAAGTGAGGAGCTGAAGAAAGCGTTGATCTTAAATTGCTTTGCAAAGTAGATTAGAAAACAAAAGAGAACTCTGGACATGACTTGTATGCTTGGCTTTAATTGTCCTTTGCTGCTGAGAGAGTTGTAAATGATAGCATGTATTTTAAAATGGTTAATCTAATTCCCTGAAGAATATAACAGTCAAATTTAAAAATTAGTGCTTTTTTGTTGGCATCTGTTAACTATAGGCTTGTGTGTTCACTTGGGTAAATAAATACTTGTGCCACAAATACATTTGGCAGTTGCCTGGTTCCTATTCTGACATTGCATTGTTCTGTTTAGGAGACTGTTGAAGTATGAAATGAGTTACAAGGGCATTCTGTGTTGGCCTGTGCAAGGAGGTCGCTGTGTGGATCTGTACACCAGATCCATCCATTGGCTCTTCTCAGTGCTAGACAATAGGAAGTCTCAAAGTTCTTTTGGTTTTTATATTCAGTAACAGTAATTGGCTTGTGGCAATGGCTCTTCTGTCTTAGAAAATTGAGTTGCATTAGTGGACCATTTCATTTGTATCCTAAGAACATAAGAAAAGCCATGCTGGATGCTTGCAAGACCTCCTCCTGCCCAAGCTCCTCAGCAACTGCTGTCTGCAGGCGGGCCACCTCTGGGAAAGGAGGGAGCATATAGCCAGCAAGGCTAGCAGCCACTGATAGCCTCCTCCCTCATGAATCTCTCCAGTCCCCTTTCAAAGCCATCCAGATTGGTGGCCATCACCACTTCCCATGGCAGCAAATACCATAGCCTAACATAGTTGTCATAGCCACTCCTCATAGGGGGGCTGCTTCAACCCCCTGCTCATTTTTGTTGCCCTTCTCTGCACTTTTCTGGCTGAATAATGTCCTTTTTCGGGTAAGGCGACCAGAACTGAGCACAATATTCCGAGTGCAGTCACAGCAGAGATTTTTTAAATAAGGGATGTAAGATTTTCTGTTCTGTCCCTAATGATGCCTAGCATGGAGTTTGCCTTCTTCACGGCAGCTGAAGCACTGTGCTGGCATTTTCATCCACCACTACCCCAAGGTCTCTTCTCACTCAGTCACTGCTATCCCATAATCGCCCAAGTTAGAGTGGATGCATTGACTTAACTGGGAAAGAGTAACATTGTAATGCAAGCCATCATACCTGTATTCAGATCTTAAATGTGATTATCTGAATAGTTTCCCTCCATATACTAGATTTTCCTGTTATTATTGGGATACTTGCCACTGAAAGTCAGGCTGACTGATAGGTATGATAGCATGAGCATATGGGGGGGGGGGGGACAACAACCAGCCCACTTCAGCAGAAGCAGTTTACTTTGTGTGAACAGCCAGTTATTTACAGAAGCCCTTGCATTGGCTTGCTGTGTTTACATATTGTCTGTCTGCCACAGCAGTCCATGCCATACCAGTCGCGTCTTTAATTTTTATTAAAAGTTCACGAGCCATTCGCCTCTTATTGCTATGCATTTTAATCTGTGTGCATAATGAAGGAGGACTTGACTTAATTGGTTCCTAGGCATCCCAAGTAGTCCGCCTTGATTGACATAGGTCAGTTCAGTTTCTCCGGCAGGCATTGCTTTGACCTGGTTTGCACAACACAGCAACCCATTGGAGTCAGTAGCCTGTAGGTCATCTGAGCCCAGCCTGCTTTTTGCAGGGTGGTTTATGTTTTGGGAACCAGCTGCCCTGAAAAACCATGGTTTGTTCTAGGGCTTGTCCATACTAAGACGGGATATCATGTCATTTGGATCTGGGAGAACCTTTTCACCATGGGTTGTAAGGAACAGCTGAGGAGCTGCTGACCAAGAGCAGCACTCCCATCCCTGTCTGTCTGCGGAGAAGCTTCAGTAATGTGGCAAAGCAAGGTGCACCTGGGAGGGGGGGGCAGTGGCAGCAATATCTTCCCCCTTTACAATGTACTTCTTTCATTTTCAAGTGTTGAACTGGTATTTCTTAGTTCCCTCCACCATTTCAACATCTTCCTAATCGGTTCCATGACTCTGGTTGCGACCTGAATTGGTTGCGAGCCAAGTCAAATTTCCCCATAAGGTTAATGTAAATAAGGTTAATCCGTTCTGTAAATATTTTTTTTAAATCACAAAAATTTGAAACAAAGTAACGAAGAACAACAAAGTAACAGAGTACAGTAGAGAACACTAACCGAGGTGGAGGGGAGGGTATCATTTGGAGGGAGAGTCCCCTTCCATAAGGACATTGGGGAGATCTCCTTCAGGGGTTTCCTCTCTTCAGGGTCAATTTTTGGCGAAAAATCCGCATGTTCTGGTCACCTTCATTCCGCTCTGCACGTTCTTTTTACCACCATGCTTGCTCTGCGCTTTCTTCGGAGCCATTATTCAGTAAGCTTCACAGCAAGTGACGACAGGTTTGTCTGCGACTGTGAGCGGGGAAGATGGCCGCGATTGTGATCATGCTTGTGCGGGGAAGATGGCCGCGATCGTGGTTGTCCCCCCATGCAGAGTTTGCGACCTAAGGCAAAATTTTTCTGAAATTTCTGTTCGCGACCCAACTTGGTCATGAACTGAGGCGTTTGTGAGCCAAGGTACCACTGTATTACATCCTCCCTGTTTTTTTGTGGCAGCTTTAGGAGCAGAGGCTGCAGGCACTTCAACTTCCTCTCCATTTATTTCCCAACCATCACATTTGTGTATATCTGTGGTTTGGTTTGGCTTTGTTTTTTACAAATATCAGTAATTGCAATGGACCATGCTCAGAGAAGGAGCTGTCAGAAGCAGGCAGTCAATAATATCTCTTGTCACAAGGTGGTGTTGGAAAGATGGAAGACATTGAGAAGAGTCAGCTCAGCGCTGAACATGGAGAAGATTACATTGCTGTGGGGGAGATGTTGCCTTCCATCCCACTGGTGTACCTTTTGCTGCATCTTCCCCCTTTAGAGGTGGTTTTCAATTGACGATTTGGGCCCTGGCAACTGAATTCAAAGATGTGTAAATGCAATATCACTTTCTCAATATCTGTTATCTATCCCACTTCATAGCTCCCTTTGACAGCTAAAAAAGCTAAGGAAATGGACTGGACAAGTTTCTACATATCGTTCAGCCATAAGAGTACATTTGTGAAAGACAAAGTAATACAATACAAAAAATTGAACACAATTATACCATTTGTAGAGGCTGGGGAAAAAAACTAACCCCAATTGAGATTCTTTGAACATTGAAGAAAAAAAAAAAAAAACAGAAATGGTGGGGAATGAATGAAGGGGGTATCTGAGTGGAGAGGGGGAGACAAGATGGGTTCTGTTGTGAAAAGACTGGAATAAATGTCATTTGGAAGATTGAGATTAAGGAGATGGAGAACACTGTTGCTGGCATCTGGTACACCACTTTTCATTGTGCATTAGCCATTGGTGAAACCTGAGCATCCAGGTTCAGAGCTGAACCCAGAAGTATGCCCAGGCTGTGCACCTGTGTCTTCAGGGTGACCATAACCCCAGCCAGCACAGGCTGGGTCCTTATTCCTTGATCCTCCTTCCAACAAACATTCTAAATAAATAAATAAACTGACCAGGAGCACCTCTTTCTTGAGTGCCTTGCCTTGATTAAGCTTCAGTTTGTTTGCCTTCATCCAGCCCATTGCCATTGACAGACACTGATTTAGTATGAAACAGCTTCCTTGGCATGAGATGGAAAGGAGGGAGAGAGTTGGGTGTCATTGGCTTAATGGTGAAACCAAACCCCCAAACTCCAGGCAAGGTTGGGTTTGGTATAAATGTCAAATAGCATAGGACACAACAGAATCCCGAGAAACTCCACAGGTCAAACAGCAGTCTCCCAGCACCTTCTGAGTCTGCGGCGCTAGGAAAGAATAAGACCGGGCGTCCAGTTCCCACACAAGTGAGGTGGCCGAGAAGGATATCATGAAAACCAACAGGGATCCACTCCTCCTGTCTGTTGTAGGTCATCTGCCAAGGAAACCAAAGTTGTTTCTGTCTCATAACCAGGGCTGAATCCAGATGGAAATAGATCTTGGTATCTCAGCTCATCCA